ACACACACACACACACACACACACACACACACACACACACACACACACACAGGGCCTGGGGCAGAATGTAGAAGCCCTGAGGGAGACAGTGGCAGAGGGAGTGGAAGTCTGAGCTCCCTGGGAACTGTCCAGCAGACAGGTGCTGAATTGAGAGGTAGGCGACATCAGCTCCCCAGGAAAAACGCCCAAGAATGACAAAATAGTCGTGTGTTCAAAGATGACCACTGGCCAATGTCATCCCTTATCAGTGGTGTTCTAGCTGTGCAACACTCTTCATGTGATCTCTTAAAATAGCTTTACTGAGATCACACTGATACTGTATGCCATAAAATTCTCCCATTTAAAGTGAACAATTCAGTGACTGGTATGTACATTAGTATTTGCCTAATGGCCATGTATATTCTTCACCCACTTGTTGGATATTTTGAAATCTCCTTTGGTAAAATGTCTATTCCAACCCTTCACTGCCTATTTTTAATTTTTAATTGGTAGATAATCATTGCATATATTTAGGGGGCACAGGACATTTCAATATACACAAACAATGTGTAGGGGTCAGATCAGGATAATTTTCTATGTTTAATTAGGCTATTTGGATTTTATTGTAAATTTTTCCTATAAGTTCTAGCTACAAGTTCCTTATGAAATTACCTGATTTGCAATTATTATTGTTTTCCATTCTGTGAACTGTTTTTATTTTCTTGGTAGTATCTTTTAAGACACAAAATTTTTCATTATGGTGGTGCCCAATTCTTATTTTTTTCTCTTGTTGCTTGTGCTTTTAAGAGTGAAAGAAGAGCCCTGAGCTCTGTGAGCTTACCAGCGGAGAGTCAGAAGGGAGGGCAAAGTGGTGTGTGAAATTTGAGGAAAGCTATAAAACGGAATTGACATTTAAGCTGGATGTTGAAGGATAAGAGGAGGATGCCAGACACAAAATTGAAGAAGAGCTTTTCCGGTAGAGAGAACATCTGGGTGGATTTTCTCCTAATCCACAGCAACTTCTTGTTACAGTTTATTATAACAGTTTCAAACGGGAACCGTCATGTATGCCAACACCATATGGTAAACAGTGACAGAGACTGCGTGTCTTGGAATTACTAAAATGAAGCCAATTCATTTATAGATGGTTCAGTTACAAGTGATGCTGCATCTGTGCGGCTTCCCCCGGGAAGTAGGGAGCCGTATTTAGAGACCAAGTCAGCATTCGTTAACAGCCTTGACAGCACTGAGGACGCAGGTTGAAAGTGCCAGGTCTTCTGCTGTCTCTGAAGGATGCACAGAGCCAGAGGATGGGACCTGGGAAAGGTAGCCCTTGCTGGCCCCTACCCAGCAGAGAGCAGGGGATGGCCTCGGAGGAGGTGGGTGGTCCCTGCGGTGTCATCTACCTGCAGGTGTATCTAGTACCCTTGAAACACCAGGCCAACAGAGATGAAACCACAGACCAGTATAAACGCACCTCTGACGTGACCCCAAAGGTGAAGAGAAGGAGCCAAAGGATTAAGATTGCTTTTCCTACAACCTGGGGAGAGTGCGACTTAGCATCAGGAATTACATCATGCAGCTGGAAATAAATGGAAGTGGTATTCCTCAAGCCCCCCAACCCACAGACTGAGATCCACACCTGTGTGCACTTTTGCTTCAGCAGAAACTGCCAACAAATGAATCTGTTTACAGACACGGGGAATGTGGGGCAGTGTCTTTCTTCCAGCGTTCTCTCCTGAGTCGCAGATCTTTTGAATTCTTATCAATCCAACTGGAACAAAGGGTGCTGAGGTCTCAATTCCAGTTGCACTTCCCTGAATTCCTGGTTTGACTTCTTTCCATGTGTTTATCATCCATCTGCATTTCTTTTTTAGTGAATCATTATTCATACCCTTTGCCCGATTTTCTGAGAGGCAATTCATCTTTTCCTCATTAATATGAAAATATTCTCTGTATATAAATGAAAATAACCTTTGCCTATAGAAATGTTTCTGTCCTATTTGTCTTTTCACTTTGTTCACGATTATTTTTTTCATGATAAATTTTGGATTGCCCATCTTAAGACCTCTCCACCCCAGGGTTATATAGTATTCTATTTTTTTCTACTTGCACATGCATATTTCTTATACTTCACACACATACGAATCCCAGATGGATTAGCCCATTATGTCCCATCATCCTGTATCTAGGACATCTATAAAATTTATAGTTTTATAGGTGTCCTATAAGACTTTATAGGTTTGTATAGGTGTCCTATAAGACTTTATAGGTTTGTATAAGATGGTAGAGCATAGCAGGATAACAATCCATCTATCATCTAGTTCTGTGAGTATGTGTATAGGGGCAAAAGGCTTGTGTTTTGTGAATTTTCATGATCTGTCTGCAGAACCAAATCAAACATGAACCAAATGTTAAATTGTACTTCCAAGAACAGCACATTATGTAAAGCAATTGCTAAATTCTGCCTTGTACATTTTCCAGCTAAAATCACCCCCATCCTTCCCACAACTTAAGAAGGAAGTAGGGCCATCCCCTGGTGCTCCCTCCTCCACATTCCCACACCCCACCCATCTGATCCTGAGGTCCTCCCTCCAGGGCTGCCTCCACCAACTCACACTCCCTGTCCCACCCCCTGTGCCCTGGACTCTGGCTCCAGGATCATCCCCCTCCAACCCATCTGCACCCTGCAAGCAGGAGCTTTCCTCAGAAGCATACCCGTCTCATCCCCGCCCTGCCTGGTCCCTCCCTCAGCCCCACCAACTCTAGGGTGCAGTCCTGGAGTCTTGATACACAAGGCTGCTGCTGTCCTGCAGAGAACCTAGCCCCTCTTGGCTTTCTAGAAAACCTTTGTGGCCTCACTTCTGAAATCGTGTCTCCCAGGACCACAGTCTGGCCAGTGCAAAATACTCTCAGAGCTCAGAAACCCCAAGCTTCCTTTTCAATAGATCTCAGCCCTGGCAGTGTCCCTGCTCACCTGCCAAAAACTGAGCACACACTTGTCCAGATCCTAACCCTGGGTAACTGATTCAGTAGGTCTCCACACTCCCCAGATGGCTTTCATGGCCAGGGGGCTAGTCCCCCAGTTTCAGGAATACACACCCTCTTCCTGGAACCCTCTCCTACCTACTTCAACCCAGCCCCCCACCACCACCCACCCCACACTGAAAATCACCTCTTCTACATGGAAGCCAATATCTAGATGCTCCTTCCTCCAGGAACTTTTCTTTCCCATCAGGTTAGAGCCCCTTTTGTTTGCCTTCCCAGCCCCCCAGGCTCCCCTGACTCAAGTGTTCACCACACTGAACTACACTGGAGACATAAACCTAGCTGTTAAAGCAGTAGCAGGGTTTGAGAGAATCTACTCCTGTTTTAAAGGAAGTTTTATTGTTGGTAAAATGCTACCAAACAGCATTGCATGGTGCAGAGAAATCTTTCATGAAATGGAGAAAAAATAGATGCAGAAAACTTCATTATTATCTCATTTTAAGAAATTTCCAGAGACACCCCAGCCTTCAGCAACCACCACTCCTACCAGTCAGCAGCAATGGACATCAAGGCATGACCCTCCACCACCAAAAACCCTTCACCTCCCTGAAGGCTCAGATGATCATTAGCATATTTCATTCAAAAACCACATGTTTTTTCCAGTGCCAAGAACCCAAACAATTATCAGGCATGTGTACTTTTTCTATAATATAATGCACACTTAACAGAATACAGCATATTGTAAACATGTTTTTTAAATGCTTTGGGAAATTTTAAAGAATTTTTTGACCCACTTTATTGTACTACTTGCTTTATTGTGGTGGCCTTAAACTAAACCTGCACTTCTCCAAGTTAGGCCCACAATTGCCTGATGTCTCTGGCACCTGACTCGGAGTCCAGGGAAAGCAGGGACAGCAACTGTCTTGCTCACCACTATATTCCTGCACCCAATAGAAACCTGACATGTGGTGGGTACTTATTTTCAAAAAGTAATAAAACCAATAAGCAAATGAATGAGTGAGCACATGGATGCTTGGCCGGTCTGTGCAGGCGCGCAGCCTGACCTGCAGAGGGCATCAGCCCGCTTCTTCAGCTCCCTGCAAAGCCCTGGAGTCGGGACCTGCTGTCAGTCAGGCAGGTGCCCGATGCTCAGTGGTCATTTCACTGCACTGAAGATTAAGTAGGAGTTGTTCACCCTCCGCGACACATAAAACCGGAGGGCTCCCCTCACTTCCAGCGACAGGTGCCACATCCCCTGTCTTGCTATGAATAGAGCCGTAACTGTAGCAACCAGTGCCAGGTTTTCTGTTCCCAGGTAGGGATGTGAGAGGAGACAGAGAGGGGGTCAGAGGGAAAGAGAAAGAAGCCTGGCTGATCAGGAGCTACGAAGCTGCTGCTCCTGGAGAGACAGAGGAAAGTTCCCGTACTAACTTCTCTCTCCGTCCCTCTCTTTCTTCTTTTGTTCTGGGGAGAACAAAATCTGAGTCTGGACTGGACAAGTATCCAAAGAAACATCTAGGGGGAGATGCTGCCTTTCCCGTGAGCAGCAGCTGCTTCCTCGGAGCCTGCAGGAGCCCCCGCTCGGATCAGCCGTCTGTTGCCATGAACGCTTCCTGCTGCCTGCTCTGGGCTCCTCCGGTGCTGCCCAATGGCTCCGAGCGCCTCGTGGCCCCTTCCAGCAACCAGAGCCACAGGGGGTTCTGTGAGCAGGTCTTCATCAAGCCTGAGGTCTTCCTGAGTCTGGGCATCATCAGCCTGCTGGAAAACATCCTGGTCATCCTGGCTGTGGTCAGAAACAGCAACCTGCACTCCCCCATGTACTTCTTCCTCTGCAGCCTGGCCGTGGCCGACATGCTGGTGAGTGTGTCCAATGCCCTGGAGACCATCATGATCGCCATCATCAACAGCAACTACCTGACCTTCGAGGACCGGTTTATCCAACACATGGACAACATCTTCGACTCCATGATCTGCATCTCCCTGGTGGCCTCCATCTGCAACCTCTTGGCCATTGCCGTCGACAGGTACGTCACCATCTTCTATGCGCTCCGCTACCACAGCATCATGACCGTGAGGAAGGCGCTCACTCTGATCGTGAGCATCTGGGTCTGCTGCGGCGTCTGCGGCGTGGTGTTCATCGTCTACTCTGAGAGCAAGATGGTCATCGTGAGCCTCATCACCATGTTCTTCGCCATGGTGCTTCTCATGGGCACCCTCTACGTGCACATGTTCCTCTTTGCCCGGCTGCATGTCAAGCGCATTGCGGCACTGCCACCTGCTGACGGGGTGGCCCCACAGCAGCACTCCTGCATGAAGGGGGCCGTCACCATCACCATCCTGCTGGGGGTGTTCATCTTCTGCTGGGCCCCCTTCTTCCTGCACCTGGTCCTCATCATCACCTGCCCCACCAACCCTTACTGCATCTGCTACACGGCCCACTTCAACACCTACCTGGTCCTCATCATGTGCAACTCCATCATCGACCCCCTCATTTACGCCTTCCGGAGCCTGGAGCTGCGCAACACCTTCAAGGAGATTCTCTGTGGCTGCAATAGCATGAACTTGAGGTAGATGGCCAGGGCTGTGGAAGTGGTCACCAGTACAGCCACTTTGGGACCTCCTTCCACCAACCGAGATGCTTAGAAAGGAAAAAAAAAAGTCCTTGAAAGGTGTAAGAATGTGCTAACAGCCAAGCCTGCACTTGTCTTTAAGTTCACACAACCTTTTAAAAGGGAAATGGCATCTAACGGGATCTCTGGAAGGACCTCTGTGGGTAAGTCACAGTCTGGTTTCCCACACCATCTCTGCTGCTCTGGGTGCTGCTTGCGTTCACTCCTGTGTGCCCAGGGCTCCTAATGCCTGCCTGCTCACCTGCTTCACACCCAGGTCTTTGTGCCCAAGCCAACCAGCCTGGGGGCTTCTCCTGAGCAAGAAGAGGGCTCGAATCTCTCACTGTTAACAGCTTTAACCTCCAGCTGTCAGCCACACACACAGAGCTCTCCCTTACTCCATTAGAGACCTAGTTCCTACTCCACTACTCTGTGTAGTGAAATCGTCGTCTAAAAACAATTAACTGTGAAAGACACAAGGTGATGCTGTTTCCTTCTCCTTGCCCTCGCCCCACCGCAGCCGCACCCCCAAATAGCATGGAGAGGTAGCCCACTGCTATCCCTGCTCCCGCTGCGGTGCTGTGACTGTCAGGTGTTCATGCATTAAATCAGAGGCCGCCTCCAAACTCTACTGAAAGAGAAAAAGCTGTGGACACTCAGAATATGCCTGTTGTTCTTGTATTTTGCCACCTGCCATTGTAAGGAATGTATTACTCTTTAAAAATCATGATTATTATTCCTTGTCTGTCTGTAAAACAAGAAAGGGAACTGTGGAAGGGGGTACATATGTCACCAGAAATTGCTTTATGGTGTTTAGATAGTTGGAGGAGCTGTCTGCCTGCCCTGTGGCTTTCCTGGGAGTTGTCTGTTAGTCTGTTCTTGGTTTTGTTTCTAGCTGTGCTTCTATGTGATGAATTCAACAGCAGCCACCAAGAAGGACTTTTTAACGGGTCACTGTTCCTTTTGCTCAACATGGTGATAAGGTTGGGTGACCCTCTTTTGACCTCTGACCCTTGTCGATGAAGCTATTCATTCCTGCACACCCAAGGTGAGATTCATGGACTGCCCCTGCACATCGCTGCTCGGGGGCAACTGCCACCTCCTCCCCGCCCAGAGTGACTCCAGCCTGTGCCCCCCTGGGCCTCGGATCCTCGCAGGATGCCACGTCCTTGGGGCATAGTTGTGCTTTGTTAAAACTGGAATGTGTCAGGCTTTCTGTCCTTGCAGACTTTGTCTCAGTGTAAGCAAAACCACTTGTTTCTTGCTTTGTTGTGATGCTTGGAGATAATAAAAGCTTTGTGGCTGTTGGACGTGTCACACTGCAGCACACCAGCTGGAGTGCCCTGGTGGCCTGTCCACCCTACGCTTCACTCTGGTTCGGGAGCTATTCTGCCATGTCATAAATCTTCACTCTTCTAGGGTGATGCCTTTTAGCCAAACTACAAAACTCTCCCATTAGGTTTCAGAAAATACCAGTCTTCCAGTTCCTTGGCCACTGTCATTCCCCATCATTTAATCCAGACACCAAATACCAGGGCTCATCTGTCACCAGTCAGCAAGTAAGTGTGGAAGACGGGAGGTAGAATCCATGGGAAAATAGATGAACAGCCACAGGAACTACCCTGTCCTTTTTCTGTATAAACAAGATAAAAATAACATTATTTGGTGTCTTTTATATATCAGTTTCCACAGTATTTCATCTCATCCTGTCAGCAAGCGCCTAACATAGGGGTGCCCTTTTACAGATGAAGGGATGTTGTGCTGAGGGGCTTGTGACTGTCAGAGGCCAGCTGGGCATGTTCACAGGACATCTGCCTGTGCTGGCATCCTTTTGCCTGAACAGGCTGCTTCCAGAGTCAAAAGGACCCAGCTCTCCCCTAGACACCAGCTCCGGCAGCACTTGCAAACAGGCACGCCCCCAGGCCTCCCCAGGCCCCTGCAGTCCTCCAGGTGCAGAATCTGACTCCGTAGGCTTGAGGTGGGGCCTAAGGCTCTGCTTTTCTGACTTTGACAAGCTCCTGGGGAGGTGGCTGCTGAAATGGTGTGGGCATGGAGGACTTTCAAATGACCACTGATGCAAAGCCAGAGTGAAGCTGGGACAGGAGGCCAGAGCCATAGAAATGGTCACCAGTACAGTCGCTTCTGTCCCTTCATCTAGCCAAGAAAGATGGCCTAGAAAACCTGACCTAGAAGACGTGAAACTGTTTTGTGTGCATAGCGGGCTGCCCTGGGCCAGAGCTGGGAAACGGGCTTCACAGGCCCACTCCTTGGGCCCTGGCAATACCCGAGCACCAAGCCGTCCTGATTCTACAGGTGAGGCACTGGAAGAGGAAACTCGGAGAGGCCAGGGGCTCGTTTGTGGAGTTTAGCTCACAAATTGGAGAAGTGGAGACTCCAACTCGGGCTGCCAACCCCCACCCAGCGCTCCCCACTGCCCAGCCCCTCTCCTAGAAGCAGTGTGGGTAGCCAAGTAGGGCTGGCGGCATCAGGGCCTGTGTTTCCATGGAGGGAGCCATTGGACATTGTAACAGTTTCCAGAAAGATGCTTTTAAAACCAGGAGGCACAACCCATCATTTCACTAGCCGTCATTCTTCCAAAACTGTGGGTGGCACTGGGGCAGGTGTCACAGGGGCATGGTGTCCACCGTGCTGTACCTGGCTCCACTCCTCAGGAGGGCAACCCTGAAAGTGGGGACATCCCTGTCCCCTCCCACCACTTCTTCAGGTCTCTGCGTGGGGACCCACTGGACATTTTAAAGCAGGACAGTCAGATTCAAAAGTAGTTTTCCCTTTGCCCGGGGTGCTGGCCCCTGCAGGACCCTGCCAGTCCCTGCCTCCATGAAGGCAGAAGCTCTGGGCCTTCCTGTGCGCTCACTCGCTCATTCTCTCTCCCTCCCTCCCTCTCTCCCTCTTCCCCTCCAACAAAAGCCAGTGGGAATCTTCACTTGGGGAAATGCAACCACACAATGATGATGATTTAATTAATTTGTTGAATGATGCTCATTTTCAATCTTAAGGTGATCGTTGGAGGTTGTTTCCTTGTCTTTCTAGGGGGCAGGGTCTCCTTGGATGAAAGCATTTTCACTCACCCTCACCTGCACTGAGGCCACCTACACAGAGGTCACCTCCACTGAGACCCCCTCTCACGAAGCAGCCAGGGCACATCATGCTCTTGCTGAAGGCCTCTGTGCCTCTGTGGCACCCTGGATGAAGCCCCAGCCCTACAAAGCTCTCAAGGCTGATCTCTGGTAACTCTCTAGCCTTCCTATCCTTGCTCACTGAACTCAAATCTACCAGGCTCATTCCTGCCCCAGGGCCTTTGTACCTGCCATTCCCTCAGCTTGAAGTCTCCTCCCCAGACCTTCCTAAGCTGGCTCCTTTTCATCCCTCAGCCTTACCCCAAATCCTCACCGACACCTTCCCCATCTTCTCTCTGAAGGAGTCCTTGGTGCTGACACCATCACTGTGTAATCACACATCTTATTACTGACATGTTTTCCTGCTGATTTTTTTTGTTTGATTCTCATCAATCTCTCCCACTAGAAAGAAGTGCCTAGTAGGTAAAACTGGGCAAGAACTGTGTCCAATGAACACGTGACTGTCGTTCCATTCCTTAACTGCTGGTGAAAGTTTGTTAAGCTTTATTATTTGTGTGCTTTATTAGAAGCATCGCAAACACACAGAACAGTTCTCCCCACCCGCCCTGCTTGCAGTGCTGCCTGTCGAGACACAGGGCCGTCTGTTCTCCCCGGAGCTCCCACCGAGCAGAGGGGGAGGCTTGGCCAGCAGGTGAGCTGCTCGGGTGTAGCTTGTCCTTTCCACCCACCTGATGCCGCACCCCTGGGACCTGCGGAGGGCCCTTCCTCCTGCTCAGACCTGTGCTGGATTTTGAAGAGGTGGCACGTCCCACTCGACATCGGCAGGAACACAAGAGCAGTGCCACAGATGGTCCTTAGGAGCGGGTGCAGCGAGAGTGGCTTTGAAGGACTCTGTTTACCAGGGAAGGAAAAGCTGCTCCCCACCCTGGAAAGATACAGGTGCCAACAGGGAAGCTCACTGAAACTCAGAACCCGGGAGCCACCGGCCAATTCTGGGCACGTGTGACAAGAGCGAGTGTGCGGTTGGCTCCGGGGTCCAGACGTGTCACCTTCAGAGCTGGCAGAGCTGGATCTGGTGGTGGGTTCCAACCCTGTCCTTGTCGATGGCTGTCATAGCTTATTGCTGCCTCAGCACCAGGCTCGGGTGACAGTTCCCACGACAACACCAGCCTGGCCCCCACCTGACCAATGCGGTGCCACTTGACCAGAGCAGCCGGGTCTGTGAGCCACGGTGGCCCAGGAGACCCGAGGCCAGCAGTGAACTGATGAGACCAGGAGGCCCTCCTACTAGCGCCAGGGCATCCAGTGGGGTCCGGGCCCCCTGTGTCCAGGACTAGGGATTGACAAGACACACCAAGTAACAGGCCAAGCGCAGGCTGAAGGTGGGGGTGGGGGAGAGGGCGAGTGAGCGAGCGAGGGGGCGCCGGCCTGCTGTCTGGAAAGCAGCGTCTCACCGGCCCAGCCCGGAGGCCTTCTCTCCCTCTACAGGCCGCACTGAGGACCACTTTACCCACTTTGGTGACCTTATGATACCCAATTAGAATACCGTCCAACTTCCCTCCTTGGTACTTTAAAAACCTAACTAGAATGCTGCCCAATTTACCCCCATTGGTCATTTTAAAACACGGAAGCTGTGGCAGGAGTTGTCATGGTGATAAGGTCCTCAGCCGTGGGAGTGTCATGATAATGGGACTTTCGGTAAACAGGGACATGACTCATTCCCCTGATTTGTCCTCCAGCCACATCTTTCTTATTCTCTGCTTCCACCGACTTAGCGTACCTGAACTCCTGCCTAATGCTCCCACCTCGGCTGCCCACCTATGTGGGGCTGCAAGGCCAGACTCGTCTGTCTGAGGATGAAGAAGAGACTCCTGTTGCTTATGTTTGGGTGCCAGGATCCAGCTGCGCCTGAAGCTAGTTTCATCCTATATTTTGCTACTAAATTACCAAATATAACCAACAGTGCTCGGACATTCACAGCTAATATATCGTTTCTTCAGAGTTGGGGAGGGATGGTATGGGGAGCAACCACAAGAGGAAAGTGAGGAGAGTAAAGCACTCCTAGTTCAAGGCCAACTCTATTTTGACCTGGTTTCAATATCGATTCACACATTCTCAAACTGAGCTGAGAACAGCATGAACACACCCCCCCCACCCCGAGTCGACGGTTCATACAACTCTGATCCGCCACCTGCCTTGCTAGGGGCACAAGGAGCAGAACCACCCAGAGGATTTTAATTAAGGTTTGGAACAGAAGGTAAGAAATCAGACAACAGAAGCAGCATTTCCACTGGCCAAGCCACCCACCTCTACCTTGGTGACCACAGACAGCCATTGGATAGGACGGTTACAGCACTTCCTGTGTGCCACTGTCACCATGCACCACACCTATGTGACAGCCTGGTCTCTAGGGAAGAGGCTCAGGGAAACCCACCAGCAGGAGGCTGCCTCTCCAGGGCTGTGGCCAGGCTGGTGCAAACGGGGCCGGCTGCACGGAGAGGGTGGACACCTGAGGTGGGGAGGGTGACACAGGCTGCCCGGGAGAGTGGAGGAAAGGAATGAGGGGCTCTTCTGGAGGGGTGCATAGAAAAAAATGCTCCTGTCCCCACAAATTTTCAGCCAAATGCACATGCCAGTGGTGCTCAGCCATGGACTCACTCTTGGAACACAACAAAGTGAACTCCAAGGCCTGCCCGCGGCATAATCCAGGGGTGCCCGGGAGTGGGAGGAGTTCAGCCTACGCCTGTCTCTGCTCCCCTTTGTGCTTCTGAGGCCCCTCCACACTGGAAGTGTGACAAGGTGGAGCTCCGTCTCCTTCCTCTCCAACGTCACCCCTATGCTGAACAGGAAAGTAAAGTGACCACAACACTCAGAGCGACCAAGAGAGCTTTATTGCAGCAGTGCAACAGAGGAGAAAAGAGAGAAAGAGAGAGAGAGAGCAAGAGATAGAGAGAGAGAGAGCAAGAGCGAGAGGGCCAGCAGGAGGGAGTTTTTATAGCCCAAATCTAATGGGGTCTCTGGGTCTGCAAGCTGCCTTGTTGGCACACAAGGGGACTAAGTGCTCGGCCTTGAGCAGCAGGCTGAGTGTTCAGCCTTGAGCAGGGGGGCAAAGCGCTCAGCCTTGAGCAGGGGCTTGGGCATTTGGGCTTGAAGCAAACAGGTGATAAAGAACCAGACAGAGGGTTTGAGTGGCCAGGTCACCCTGCAGCT